ATACTTGTGGTTTATCTGTTCTCAAATCCTGCAGCAACCCTATCCAAAAACATGGAATCACCAGCAGACTATCCACAGCCAGAAGGCCCTGCAGATCCCTCTGCTAAACAGTCAGGTATTACTTTTATTGGTTTAGAATATTTATAAAATGTTGTAAGTTGTGCTTTACTGGAATGTGTTTGTTCAGATCGCTGATCTAGTTTTTAAAGGAGAAGTATTACGTGTGTTCTGGGAACACAGTGTCATTTCATAGCATAATCAAGTAACTTACCTTCAGTTATAAAAAAACAAACAACAACTCTACTTATAAAAACGTTGTGCTTCATTTTATTGAAAATAATACAGCTACACCTACAGGTGAGGCTACAGGGCGCTCTACTGATGATGTAGAATCAGTTAAAGGGGGCAAGGAAATTAAGATCAAATGCTTCTCATCACATCTACGTCTGGAAACATATATTTTTTGACAAATTTAAGATGTGTTCAGCACATATAATGTTCATGTTAATTTTGTTTTTGGTTTTTTGTTTTGCCGACGTGGATCCAGCTGTAAGAACTCTGGACAAGAACTCTGGCCAAAAAGACAATGACGGAAGTCAAGATAACCCATTAAATAGTGAGAAATTAACTGGTGATCATCAGAGTCCAAGTGTTATTACATGTTGTTATTTCTCAGTACGATATTTTCTGTGTGGTTTTCTGTGTATTATCTCTGTTTCTCTATAAACTGTTCTAATAAAACATTGTGCTTCATTTTATTGACAATAATACAGGAACACCCACAGAGAAGAATACTACAGTTCCTTATATTGCTGGCGTACCACCAGTTGAAGGGGGTAAGGAAATGAAGATCAAATGATTCTCACCACATCTAGATCTGGAAAAAATATAGATTTTTTTTGACAAATTTAAGATGTGTTCAGCACATATAATGTTCATGTTCATTTTTGTTTTGTTTTGCCGATGCATATCCAGATAAAGCTGATAGCTTACAGAATGGGGACAAGAACTCTGGCCAACAAGCCAATAATGGAAGTCAAGATAATCCATCAAATATGGAGAAATCACCTGGTGATCATCGGAGTCCAAGTGGTCCTACAGGTTGTTATTTCTCAGTATGATATTTTCTGTGTGGTTTTCTGTGTATTAACTGTTTCTCCATTAACTCTACTAATAAAAACATGGTGCTTCATTTTATAGATGTTAATACAGAAACACCTACAGGGAAGAATACTGCAGTTCCCTCTGTTGCTGATTTACCACCAGTTGAAGGGGGTAATGAAATGAAGATCAAATGATTCTCACCACATCTAGATCTGGAAAAAAAAAATATTTTTTGACAAATGTGCTCAGCACATATAATGTTTATGTTCATTTTTGTTTTGTTTTGCAGGTGCGGGTTCAGATGAAGGCCAAAGCTTACCAGCTGTGGACAATATCTCTGGCCATAAAGCCAATGATGGAAATCAAGATAACCCATCAAATAGTGAGAAATCAACTGGTGATCATCAGAGTCCAAGTGGTCCTACAGGTTGTTATTTCTCAGTATGATATTTTCTGTATGGTTTTCTGTGTATTTACTGTTTCTCCATAAACTCTACTAATAAAAACATGGTGGTTCATTTTATAGATGTTAATACAGGAACACCTACAGAGAAGAAGACTACAGTTCCCTCTATTGCTGACGTACCACCAGTTGAAGGGGGTAATGAAATGAAGATCAAATGATTCTCACCACATCTAGATCTGGAAAAAAAATTATATTTTTTGACAAATTTAACATGTGCTCAGCACATATAATGTTTATGTTCATTTTTGTTTTGTTTTTTTTGCAGGTGCGGGTTCAGATGAAGGCCAAAGCTTACCAGCTGTGGACAATATCTCTGGCCAACAAGCCAATGATGGAAGTCAAGATAACCCATCAAATAGTGAGAAATCACCTGGTGATCGTCGGAGTCCAAGTGGTCCTACAGGTTGTTATTTCTCAGTATGATATTTTCTTTGTGGTTTTCTGTGTATTAAACTCTACTAATAAAAACATGGTGCTTCATTTTATAAACAATAATACAGGAACACCCACAGAGAAGAAGACTACAGTTCCCTATATTGCTGACGTACCACCAGTTGAAGGGGGTAAGGAAATGAAGATCAAATGATTCTCACCACATCTAGATCTGGAAAAAAATAGATTTTTTTTGACAAATTTAAGATGTGTTCAGCACATATAATGTTCACGTTCATTTTTATTTTGTTTTGCCGATGTATATCCATATAAAGCTGATAGCTTACAGAATGGGGACAAGAATTCTGGCCAACAAGCCAATAATGGAAGTCAAGATAATCCATCAAATAGTGAGAAATCACCTGGTGATCCTCAGAGTCCTAGTGGTCCTACAGGTTGTTATTTGTCAGTATGATATTTTCTGTGTGGTTTTCTGTGTATTAACTCTGTTTCTCCATAAACTCTACTAATAAAAACATGGTGCTTCATTTTATCAGGAATAATACAACATCTTAAACTTCTATCTTCACTTTTGGCTATAGAAAGCCTACACTAAGTCAGAAATTTAATATGAAGGTTTGTTCTTTCATTGATTCAGTAAAGTCAGAAAAAGTCAGTCACCCTACACCAGAAAGTGACAAACCAGTCGACACAACACCTGGCGAATGTTCCAATCGAAGTATGATTTCAAGTCCCTTTTTTTTTAAGTATATCCACTGTTTAGGGATCTGACTTCCTGTCTCTAACTAGTTTGATATGTAGAAGCCTAGGAAACAAAATAGATTATTTGACCTAACAAGTTAAAAATATGATTGACTATAGATGGCACTGTTTTTGTTTAGCATTGCAGGTGTAGATTTACCTTTCCGGCTAAAGACAAAAAGCCCAACCAACAAGCAAAAGCTGATGAACATTTTTAGTCCAATTGCTAAAGCAGGTTCTTATTTATTTCTGTATTTTATGTTTGCTATGTGAAAGAGTTGACTACAAGCCTCATTTATAGATTTTGTTGTATGTGCTTCTTAAAATAGTCATTTTTGCTTAAAATAAAAATGAACCCAACATATTAACTTTGCAACGACCAGTGAACAACATAGATGATCTAAAAATTCGTCAAAAAATAAAGAACGCAGTGAAATTGGAGAACGTCCACGTAATTTATGTAAAGCCCAACTGTTTTTGTTTTTTTTTATCTTCTCAGATTTGTCAAGTACCTCAGCAGTGTCTCAAAAGGAACCTCCAAATGAAGAAATAGAAAAACAGAAGATGAGCAAAAAAGAAGAGGTTGAACTCATTGGTCCGACCGCTACACAAACTGTACTTGAAGAAAAAACTGGAATCCTTGGAGGTAATTGCGCGATTATTAATCTCCAAGTGTACTTGGAGCACTTACCTTGTAGCATAATCCATTAGTGATTTTGTTTAATGTTATTATAATCCAAACATTATAAAGATGTTGATGGATAATCGTAAAAAAAGCCCTTGTAAGATGCATCTAAACTTCTCTTGACAGGAGGCGTGAAACCATTGGTAATAGTGGTTCTCGTGGCACTTGTTGCCATCGTGGGACAGTATTACCTCCGATCTAAATCTCCACCTCAGAAGACTGATTGGCAACAAGTAGATGTCTTTCTCAAGCAGATGAAAAAAGTAAAAGCGAGGTTTCCCAATCAGCGTGACGAGCTCTGGAGCAGGAGTGAAATCCACCTGAAGAGGCACCTCCAGACCAGCCAACCCACGGAGCCCGTGAGCCTGATCCTGACGTCAGGCGTCAGAGCCGAGAGGACCATGCGCTGCCTGGCTCAGGGTGTGGCCTCCGCCTTCTCCACCGCCCGCAACGCTTCCGTCCTCCACATCGACGGAGCGGGCAAAGCCGGCCAAGACAGCGACCAGGTCAAACTGGACATCGACAGAAAGCTGCAAGGGGCTTTCGAGGGAGACAAACCCGTAGCGGTGATTCACCGCCTGGAAGAGCTGCCGCCGGGCTCCACGCTCATCTTCTACCGCTACTGCGATCACGAGAACGCCGCCTACAAGAAGACTTTTCTGATCTTCACGGTGCTGCTGGGTGACGAAGAGGAGATCCCGGCCGAGATGCGCCTGAGCGTCGTGGAGGAGATGGTGGACGACTACCTGCAGAAGAGGTTTCTGTCTCACGATCACCCGGTATCTTTCGACAGGATGGATCTCAACAAGTACGGTGGACTGTGGAGTCGCATTTCCCACCTCATCCTGCCGGTGGCGGCAGAGGACAGAATAGAGCAAGAAGGATGCTAGAGGACTCAACTCTGTTCTGAGTTTTGGGTCTGAGCACTGGATTAGCACACAGCTGTAACATCTCTTTCTGGAGCTCTTTGCTGTGGTTTTAAACACACAAATATTTCTAATAGCAATTTTATTGAAATTCAGTTGCATCACTATATTAAGTCTCAGTCGAAAGTGAGAATCCTGTAAAAATTTCATTTATTATGAAGAAGTCTGACAAGAAGGCTTATGCACTTTATTCTTTTAATCCTTTGTTGAATTCATAAGTGGGATGGGAAATGTTAGTTGGATGTTGGAGCGGCGGGATTTTTAACTGCTGCTTTTTAAACACACTCAATGTAAAATAAATCACATTCGCACAACTTTCACAACATAATAGAGCAGGCATCACAACATAAGGTTCATAATTTTAGTTTCTGCAGTGACTCTGATTGGCACCATGTGCCTTAAAAGTAGGCCTCTGATTTTCTTTTTGTCAACCATGTTCCGGATAGAAAAGAATATGAGTTAAATGTGCCTTAAAATACAAATAAACACTTATTTTAATTTAAAAGGCCTCTTTTATTGTCTCTGAGGTGAACAATTTCAGGGACCCCACACTGTCTGCAATTTCTTTAGAAAATGAATATAGGAGGAATATGTAAAAAGATGAGCAATTTCATAAAGTATTCCCTATCCCACTATCCATCAATTTGTCCAACATTCACCTTCTGTCCAAACATCCGTTTACCATCCATCAATGCATATGTCCACCCATGTATTATTTTATTCTTCAGTTTTAGATTCAGGCATTTGTTTTTCCATGTTCCATAAAGTCTGGAAAATGGAATATCCAGCCAAAAATTCATAGTGAAGTGTTCTTCGCTTAT